GGTGAATTTTACATTATGTATATTTAGCTACAATTTTCTAAAAAATTGGGGAGGGGAATAATAGACTACTGGTACAAGCTGTAACAAAAATGAATATTGAAAACATGATGTTACATGAAGAAGCCTGACACAAGGAACCATGTATTGTATAAATCCATTTATATCACAAGGGTCATGTGACGTGTTGTATAATCCTACTTATATAAAATACCCCAACTAGGCAGAAATAAATGGTCACCAGTGGCTGGGGAGGAGCTATTGAGTATGGGGTTTCTTTCTGGATAATAAAAATGTTCCAGAATTAATCATGATGACTATACAACATTATTAATAAATTAAACATGGATTGTTGAATTGTATGTAAATGACATCTGAATTCGTAAAACAAAGCAACAGGCTTGGCACACACAGCTCAGTGGTTAGGGCGTCAACCACATACACCGAACCTGGCCTGGGCTTGCTACACCACAATGACAACTACAGCAAAAAATAGCCAGGCATTGTTGCGGGTGACTGTAGTCCCAGCTACTTGGAAGGCTGAGGCAAGAGAATCGCTTAAGCCCAAGAGTTTGAGTTTGCTGTGAGCTATGATACCGCAGTACTCTACTGAGGGCAACAAAGTGAGACCCTGTCTCAAAAAACAAACAAACACAAAGCCATGAGTTAAATACTATGCTTCCATTTTGTAGAAGTGAAACTGAGAATAGAGGGTTTAAGTAATTTTCCTAAGTGGCAGAGTCTGAATTTGAATCTAATCACTTTGGCCCTGGAGCCTGTCCTTTATTATTTTAAATTCTTCTTTTTTTAAGCAAGAGATTTAAGCAAAAATCTGCTAAGAGATTCTAGAAAGGTATACTGTTTTTCCTAACAAAGGGTACAGGCAGGGCTGATGCTGCATTTCCTCTACCTATTTATGTACTGCATTGATGGAGACATGAAGATAAGAGCTTTGTCAGTCACCACGTGCCCATAAAGACAAAGACCAAGAGAATCAAAGAAACTGGTTTTGCTAGTTTTTTTTTTTTTTTTTTTTAAGACACATTCTCACCCTGATGCCCCAGATTACCATGCCCTGGGCTTCACAGTTCACAGCTACCTCAAACTCCTGGGCTCAAGCTGGGACCACAGGTGTGAGCCACTAATGCCCAGCTTATTTACATACAGCCTATGTTTTTTAGAGATGGGGTCTCACTCTTGCTCAGGCTAGTCTTGAACTCCTGAATTCAAGTGATCCTCCTGCCTTCCAAAGTGCTAGAATTACAGGCGTGAGCCACCCCACTAGCCTTATTATCTTTTTGTTGTTGTTGGAGATAGGGTTCTGCTCTAAAGCCAGCCAGGAGTGCAGTGGTACAATCGTAGCTTACTGTAGCCTCCAACTCCTGAGGTCAAATGATCCCCCTGCCTTGTCTGGCCTCCCAAGTAGCTGGTACCGTGCCCGGCTTGGGCTCTCCTTATCATTGTCTTATGCCACCCTTAGTGCTTCTGCAGATACATCACTATATGATAAAACACCTTCTTTCCTACCTCTAAACCCGAGCATGTATTATTTAGCTTCATGACTGTTTACCTTCTCACTGTCCCACCTTTCCTTCCAAACTTGTTCACTGTGAGGTCTGGCAATACTCTTTCAATTGTGTCCTTCACCAATTAATCAAGTGGAGATACCATGAAGTGATCATTTTTAAAGTACCACTGTTATGACCCTAGAACCAGCTAGGTCTCAGGACTTCTTCCAAGTGCAGAAGGAACAAAACATACTACCATTGTCCCTAGAACATGAGATTACTTGTCTTCACCACTTGGACTTTATTTTATATAGCACTTTTGCTCACACTGTTCCCTCGATTAGGAAGAAACTTCCTGTATCTCTGCCTGGCTAAATTCTATTCTTCCAGCAAGGTCTAATTTAAATGCAAACTTGTCAATGAAGTTCCTATAGCCTCCCTTTTTTATTAAGTGTCACTGTTCACATTGATCAAACCTTTAAGGATTCAGGTCCAGGTTTGTCTGCGTCTAAAAAAAAATACATATACTTTACAAGTAGCTCTGTCAGGAAAGGATGGTACTTTATGTATAAATAAGGGACTAAATGTATTTTCAATTCTCAGCATTCTTAAGCAAAAAGTAATTCATGTGGCATATGGTGTCCATAATTGCTCACAGATGCCTGTTGCCTTTCATGTGAGAAAACAAGCTCTCTGTAAGTATATAAGATAACTAAGTGGGAGGGTTCCCTAAATGCTATGCTCCATACACAGCAGCAGTGTAAACTCTTATTATAAAGCTTGGAACCTAAGATATAAAGAATTATCCCTCTGTATTTAAGTAAGTTCCTTCCGTATTTAGAAAGAGACAAGAATACCCATACCAAATAGTTAGTTGGGGACTGTCTATAGGATTGTATGAAGTATTTTAAGAATGTGAACGTGAAGATGAAAATCCTGCAGACAAAATGGGAGTGGACAGAAGGAAATCAGCTTGAAGACATGATGGGAACTACTTTAATCCAAGGAACTGCTATTTAAACCACCCTAAACTTTCTTCCTAAAAACAGTAAGAAAAATGAAGGTGGAGGGGGGATAAGAGAAAAAAATTCCACATTATTCTTATTTTACTATTAGGAAAGAAAAGCATTTCAGGGATTTCCTTTTTTTCTTTTCTTTCCTTTTTTTGTTTTTTGAGACAAAGTTTCACTTTGCCCCCGTTGGCATCATAGTTCACAGCAACCTCAAACTCTCTAGCTCAAGTGATTCTCTGGCCTTGAGAGGGAGCAGTTATGAACCTATTTTTATTATTACTATTTTTCTTGCTGTGCCTTTAAATAGTAGTGTAGTGGCAAAAATATAAAAAAGATAAAAGAGCTGGGGAAGAAGGAAGACACGGAGGAGAGGGGGGAGGAGGCAGAGCTGCAGGAAGCTCCAAGGTCATAAATCGAATCAGGTTCACAGCTACAGTCCAGGTGGCAACAACCAATCAAAAGTTCACACACTATCATTCCAGCTAAGACCCCAACCACGGAGAGGCAGTTAGCCTATCGGAACCCCAAGACCTCCCTAGTGACCAATGAGTGACCAGACACTAGCTTCTTCTTCAGCTATCTTCTTCAGCATTTTATTGCAACCCATAGTACCTTGCAAGAAAATGTATAAAAGTTTCCCTGGCCTTTGTTTAGGGGCCACTCCCCGCTGTTCTGCTTTTCTCTTGGGAGTGACCTGAGCATATGCTTGATAAGAATAAACTTCTTGCTTCTTCCATGTGTGAGTCTGGTCTCAGTGGTAATAATTTTGGCCTTAACAGCTTCAGCTTTCCAAGTAGCTGAGACTACATACAGGTGCCTGCCACAACACCTGGCTATTTTCAGAGACGGAGTCTCACTCTTGCTCAGGCTGATCGTTAACTCCTGAGCTCAGGCAATCCACCCATTTCTCAAGAAATTTTCTTGAGAGCAGTTAATGATACTGGTATCTATTTTCAAAATTTAAATTAGAAACATTCAGAAAAGCTATTCACATGTAAAATTAGTTTTCTAAAACGTCATTTGCATGAAAATATAACCAGTGAACTGAAGAATCAACACAAGATACCAGCCTGGAGATGGCCCTACCTTCCACAGTGACCTCAATTTCAGGAACCTTTGAATTGCTCCCAGGGCTGCGTGGTCTTTTGGGGGACTGCAATGCTATAAAACAAGCACAGAATTATATATCTTGTAACAAACAAACAAACAAACAAAGGGAGTGCTTTATAAAAGCAGAGTATTAAAATTCATACAGTTTGCTCTTTTCAAAGAAACCTGAAGAATTAAACTGGTACTGTAATCCTCTACATGGTTTCAACAAAGCTGTGTAAATATGAATGGAGGATTGCAAATATGAAATTCTAAATTAAATGTTTAAAAAAGAAAGAAAAAAGGTCCATTAAATAAAATAAAAAAGAAACAAACTGAAAGACCCACAAAGACATTGGCCAATGATTCAGTATGACTTAAATAATGTTGAGAAAGAATGTTTTAGTGCACTGAAATATACTAATGAATATACATAATCTCTTACCTTTAGTGTTTATTTTACTAGCCATTCCAGGAGGCAAGTAGGAAATAACTAGTTCAGGTCTAGAAAGAAAACCAAGAAATGTGACAGATGCCAGTCCAGTAAGGGTCTTCACAGCTAGTAAAAATAATCATGACCAGTGTTTTTTTTATAAAGGCCTTTAGCAAGTCATCCTATAACACAACAATGATTCTACCATTATGGAAAAAATCCCTGACTTTTCCTTCCTGTAACTATCTGATAAAAAGAGTAAATGACTTCTTTCAAGAAAAAGGAAATTATTAACACTAGTTTACTTTCTTCAACCACTGTAGATAAGAAACTCAATTGCTAATACTTAGTTGCTCACAAGATGACCAGGAATAACATAACAGATAAAAACCAACATTTTAAAATTCTACTCAAGAGTTCAGGAATAGTAAGTGGAGTCTCTAACCACCACCAAGAGGCCAGTTGTTACTATTCTTCTTGTACTGATGAAATAAATACAGGATAGAGTATTTGCAGAGGCAATAGACAATGCCAGGATGGTAGCTTGGAGCTAGGCTTTTGCATCAAGGACTTCAAAACCACACCTGCTACTTCCAACTGGGGAAAAAAAATTGAACAGAAATATGATTTTATTTAATTCCAGACATGACTAAAATGCCAAAAAGAACTTACTTTAAGGAAAAAAAAAAAGAACTTACTTTTTAACAACAAACTTGATTTTATTACTCCCACGGACAATCCTTTCAAGCCGTGGAATTCCAAACCAGGTAGGGCTTCTAAAGGGAATTCCTTCAGGCAAGCCTTCTACATAAAGGAACTCCGGATTTGATTCAAACACAGGATATGGTACTTTTACTGCCTCAGTGAGTCCAAGAGCTTGAGCTGAAAGTGTAAGAGAACATAATTTATGAAAGATAAAATTACACAACTTTTTGTGTCTGCATTCTCAAATAACATCATGTTCAAGTTCTCAATAATCTAGCAATAACCATGTAATATTGAAGGCATTTTGCTTAGTATATTGGGCAAATCTGAAGAACAAACCTAAAAAAATAAGTACTTTTAAGAGGAACATTAAACACTTTAAATCAAAAGGATAGTTATGTTATTAGTCAAAACAATCTGTGTTCTGGGCAGAACTCAACTAAGGCCATTTTACATAATGGCACCTACCCAGCCTTTGTGTTACCATCTAGATGCAAGCTGGCTATTTACAGACAGGAGCTGTGTGTACTGCACTGAAGCAGAACTTATTAAGTTAGAGTAATCAGAGGCAGAGTAATCAAGACTCCTAATCTGGGACACAAAATGTCAACACCAGGTGTTAAAATAATGGATAGGAATGCCCAGGAATACTGCTATCACTCCCCACTCCTTACTTCCTTCTCCATGACAGATACACCCAATGAACTGAAACACTCTTGCTGAGCCTCCTCAGAATCCTTCTCAAGACAGCGCTCCAGGAAACCGCTGTCAACAAATCTAAGTTGAAACAAATGGTGAAACCTATTTGCCACACTGGTGTCAGCCAGATGAGAAGCACAGACAATGGAACTAGATTCATCCCGACTCCTCCCTTCCTCTCCCATTGAGACATATGAGAAAACTAAATCCATGATAAATACAGCAATTGGCTTGGCTTAAATAGTTGAGTTTAGTAGTAGAATAAACTAATACCCAATTTTGGGATCTTTCCTTCTTTCAGTCTTGAACTTTCATAATTAATTTAGACATGGCCTTCATTCATGGTTGTGTTTTTTTTTTTTTTTTTTTTTTTT